AGACCGCTAAATCTAAATCAGCGCGTTTTCTCTTTAGAATGTGTGTCAAATGGGACACGATTTTGATCGATCGAAAGTGAAAAAAATAGTATTTTCCCTAGAGACCGTACATGCATTATGCGTGCACAAAGTTGTTTTTTTAACTGAGAACAAAAATGGCCCTATCATGTTTGGCACCTTATATTACAATTTAAACTATTTCCTGAACGTTTGCTGGAAGTTATTCTGTACTTGTACTTAGACATCTTTTTTAATCAGCCATGGCATTAATGTTTTCAGGTGGATTGTTCCATAATAATTTGCCCCTCTGTATTTCACTGAGAATTCTTTGGCTGTTAATCTATGTATACGTGTATGTTGTGCACAGTTAATTTTGTATCTCAGCATAAATATTATTTTTTCTTTTATTTTTAGCATACATTGCCATACACAAAAAGAACAGAAAATTATAAATTAACTGCAATAAAAAATTGACTACAATATTAGAATAAAATTTTATATTAGATGCTGATCAGGTATATTTGTGATAATTATGTAAAGTCTTTTTTTGTGAAATAATCTTGAAAAATAGCAGGTAATGTTCCAAAGAAGGATAAAAGTGTAATGAGATCTACATGTAATGATTGAATAAAAATGTTTTGGCTTTTCATAAACTGAGAATTGTCTAAAATAAAAAGGCAGAGCTGTCATTAGGGGCCGTAACCCATAACACCTGTTACAGCTGAGCTCACTTGATGTTACAGGTGATCAAAGTGGAAAGCTGAAGGTGGTAATTTAAATTTTTGGGACCTGTATTGGGTGAATCTTCATTTGCTATGGCTGTTTCAAAACGTAATGACAGCCCTGAAAAGGGATGGTTATATCTCTGTAGAGCAATCCTTGGAGTTATTATTTTTTTTTACACCAGCATACTTGCCCTCTTTGGGTCACAGAAGATTGCTAGCATTGGGGGTTTACCTGTACTGTGTATTTATTAATTGTGATTGAGTACTTTTAAGTTTTATAATATGTATACGCATAATCAGTTCTTGTTTTGCCAAAAAATGCTTTCCAAAATATGGGTTTTCTTATTTACGATGTCAGCTAGAGCCAAAAATTGGCACATCATGCTTGTTAGTTTCAGCCGGTGAGAAATTTGGTACATCAAGTACAAACTTGTCCAGTTTTCAATTCCAAACCTTTGTCAAATTCATGGTTGCATGATTGATGCATGCACAGCAAAACATTAATTTTTGACATTGTTTCATTTTCTTCAACAAAAGACCAATTTACATAACTTAAAAAAAGGGTAAGAAAATACATGTAACTTAAAAATAATATACATTTCCTTTCTTTAAGTTCCATCATGAGGTCACATAGTATTACATCTTTCTGATTGTTGAGTGTTGGATTTTCTTTTGTACATGTATCAAATTCATCCATGAATTGGCTCACAGGAGGCAATGACTATGATCGATAAGAGTGCAGTCAGACCCTTCAAAGTATTATTGTACACTGTAGCATCCCATCAACACTGTAGCCAGTTTCAAATAGTAAGTTGTTCGTAATTAAATTTTTATACCATCTGGAATATTAAGATAAAAAGAACTGCTGGTAAATGAAATTATAAGCACCACTTTATGGACAGCTCATTATTACAGACAGTTTTCTTTGTCCACAGAGAACCCAAACAGTGTATTAGCTAAGAAATAATAATTTAGATGTACATGTAGTAACACTGTATTAGCTTATAAGATAGTTATCTTGAGGTGTAACTGTCGCATCCGACTCGCCTGACAAGCAAGCATTTGACACTGGCAATGTTAACGATCTCTGATTCAAATCCCTTGTAAAACGAATCATAAAGAAACAGGAACACAGGTTCTTACATCTTATGTTATTAGCTACTACAGCATAAATGCATCTTAGAATTATTCCATTGGCTAATACAGCATTTGAGTTCACTGTGTCCAGTCTTTGGGCCGTAGCAAAAGGGGACTGCTCTACAATGTACACTGTAGCTGTAAGCAAAGTACCAAGCTTTTTGAGAAAAATCCACTTTTCAGCATAAAACAACCAAATCTGGCTATTTAATGCAAAATCAGGTGAAAAAGTCAGCAAAAGGCGATTTGTAGGTTTTTTGATTAAGGGATAGGTAGCATGATGGTCATGGACCGCTTGCATGTGTATATCCAACAGTGTTTATTTACTGTGCAATATCAGGGCTGTCAAAAAGTTTTTAAGTAGCAGGCTCATAATAAAATAATAGTAGGCGGCTTTGGAACTCGCACCAAAGGATTTTGTTAGAGTCTCAGTAATGTCCCAGACCTTCCACGACATTGCACCGTTCTAATGTTTCACAGATCTAATTACTGTTTAAATATGCATTCAATGTGATTCAAACCTGGGAAAAACCTTACAGGAGTTTAAAGTTTGGAGTAAACTTTTAGTCTTCATGAAATTTTAGTTGGATCATGTTGATGAATGCAGTTGTGTAGGATATGCAGTTTCCTATTTTGATCTTCTGTCAGAATTATGAGAGAACTCTCAAATACAGATCTCATTCAAACATTATAGTTTCATTGTAATTATCATTTGTTTCTTTTCCTATAAACTTCTCATCAGGTCTACATTTTGCATGAATTTAATGTGATATATATTTGAAGCGGTTGTTGGTTTACAGTGAAGTATTTTTCACTTTGTTTTTTTTTTATGAAGTTGAGTTTCTTCTTAGTTGTTGGCTAAGGCAGTGTTGAAGTAGTGACATGCTAACATACTTTATTGTTCATTTCTCTTCAGAAAAGATTGATTGATCCTGAATCAAACAAAGTGCAGCTTCACAAACAAGATTTTTGAAGAACAAATGTGTATTCAAGCAAAGTATATGTCCCTGACAGTGTCAATAAAATTTATTAATGGAAAGATCTGGGTTTTTACTCCTTTGTAGCACTTTTGACTACTCATCACTTTTCTAACCTATATAGTAAAAAGATCATATAGTATAATCAGTATTTTTTCCAACTAACATATTTGCAATCAAAGTTCTCTTCTTTTATATATAGTATTGCCCTAATTTTAAAAATTTCATTATCTTATTCAGATCAAGCACAGTAACCATTGAAAAGAAAAGAAGAAAAAAAAAACCTGGTCGGTCATAGACGGCTTTAAAGTTTTGATATTAAAATTGCAATGAAAAGAACATGAATGCAGACACTACAGTTCATTTAGCTCATGTTCAAGCTTTTTTTATAAATTAGAAAGTCTTACTGGAGAAGACATAATTTTGCTTTATCTTTTCGGTAAAAAAAGTAATAAAATAACTTCCAGGTGTCTAAGCAATTTCAAAGGACCCACAGTGTCTTATTTCTCCGCTGCATAGAGCTGTGAACAAAGGCCGTTCTTTCTAGTGACCCGGCTTTCATCAAAAATATTGTTGTCCTTCGTGATCGTGAAGAGTGCAAAGTTGAATCCGGTAAACCGGCCAAAACGCGAGCATCGCAGGGAACGAATCCCATAGGAATAGGTGAAAAAGGATAATAAAAAGTCTAGGTTATTCTATACCTGCCAACTTTTTCTGAGATATAAGCGTGAGATTTTTATCCTGGGAGGGCTGGGATTTTTGAAGACGACACGATCATTTCCGAGGATTCCCGAAGAAGTCCGAAGTCTTCCGAAGATGTCCGAAGTCTGCCGAAGGCGAAGTTTTCACTTGCTTTTCACTTCAAAAATCAGAGATCGCGAGGAAGGTATTGTCATTTATTCATTTTACACATGGTTTTCGTTCCTTACATGGGTCTGAGTCAACATATTTTTGGAAATTGTGTCAAGCAAGACGGCAACAACTCACATTTTTCAATCAGGCGTGAGAAATTGGCCCGCAAGCGTGAGCCGGCGTGAGATCGAAGTTTTCAACCCGCAGGCGTGAGACTCACGCCTAAGGCGTGAGAGTTGGCAGGTATACTATTCTAAAAATATCCGTATATGCATTTGCAACTCATATTAAGCCGCAATTTCACTTCTTTCCACTGGAATAAACAAACGATGAATGTATTGCCGCCATTTTGAATTTGGCAATGTCACGTGGTCGCGCGTCGACCAATCAGACAATTTTCGCAGGTGAAGTGCAGCTTGTGGCTCAGTTGTTCTGCTTTCATGTTTTTGACAATTTTGTAGTTATTGAAATTGCTTTTATGGATAACCAGGCACAGATCACTGAAACAATTAGTCGATTAGATTCAGAAAAGGTAAGTTGATAATAACTCAGTGTGTAATTTTGGCTAGAGCGTCAGGTAAACTGATTTTCATTCACCAAAACAAAGTTGTTGACTGCTATTTTTCACTTAACATGGCTGAAACTAAGACATAAAAAGTTATCATTGCAAGCTTGTGTATTGTAGTTCTAATTTTCAGTTCTTCAGTTTCTCAGTCTTCATGCCTTAAAGCCGATTCGAGATTTATTTGGAAAACGACAACACACAATCGGTTTGTAGTTTTATTTACCAGTGAGTTTTACCGTGTTTTGAAACGAAACTCTTCTGAGTTGATTGCCATGAAACATAATAATAATAATAATAATAATAATATTTAATACTTATATTGCGCTTTTTCTATAAAAATACTCAAAAGCGCATAAAACAATAACATAAAACATAAGCTTAATTATACTGTTCAGGTTGGCAGCAAGTTGACAACTCTATTTATTTCAATCATTCTCAGAATCAGAGAGCGAAAGCTGGTTCGATGGCTTTTAGAAGTCGAAATTTTCATGCCTTGTATTTAGCAGCTGAAAGTTTCGTGTTTGCACGAGATGCAGCCGAGCCGCAGAGTCTGAAATTATTGAAGTCTTCACTGACCAAAGAACAGCCAAAGAACAACCATGTAAAAGAATTAAATAGGCATTTTCTTGAATGAGAGTCATTTATAGGCATGTTTAGTTTCCCAACACAGAAAGCTCCGGGTGCTCGTGACTGCATTCATCAAAGTCGAGGTTGTTACCGGTATGTATGCATGTGCATGTGCATCTATGCTTGCATGTGCAGAACTGCATTCCTTACTAAGCTTTCAATTCGGTTGTTCCAAGTCTTCTTAGTAATGTCAGACAGCTCCTCAAAGAGCCTCTCAAACATCACTGCATTAGTTGAGCGATGTGAAACAAGACGAAGAAGAAAGGCAGAATGTGATACACATGCATGGAAGTAAATGCCAGAGAGCTTTCTGCTTGTTAGAGCTCTAGGTGGGGTCAGCACTTTTCGGCACAATATTGCATGCCTCCAGCACAGGTTATGCAACCTCAAGATCAACTTTGGACACCGCTTTCTGTCTTGTGCATAGAAAATCTCCACCATTTCACAAAGGCTGGCCAGCAGGGATCTCACATCACGGGTTGCTGTTTCATAAAGGGGTATTGTTAGGTAGATAAGGGTCCTTCTATAATATGCCCCTCGCTTCTTCTCTTTGTTGAGTTGCACAGACAGAATTTCCTTCAGTTTTATAAGAGTGTCAATGTCAGTAATGTGGTGAGGAAGTTCTTCTGTGGTGTGTGACTTAACTTTCTTAAATCATCCTGCCTGGCTGGAATGAATTTGATCTGATCTTCAATACTTGAACTGCTCTGGCCTAGCATACAGAGTATGGCCTCTCCACTGTTGCCTGGACATCTACTTCTTTCCAGGTTGAGCCCTGGCTTCTGCATCAGAGAGATGAATTGCTGGGTCATACATCTCTCTGATACAAAAGAGCATGTGACCGTAATTTGAAAGGGTGGAATGGTCATGCCATATCAGCCAATGCCTCTAACGCTGAAAGTTTTTCAGCCTTTGCTTGATTTCATCGTGTGAACCACTTGCATCCTCACTGATTTTCTTTAGCTACTTACAAATCTGATTTTCAGTGAGCTGTTCATAGATACGTCTGTTTTTATTTGAAGAAAGTCGTTGTTTGCCATCAGGGCTTGTTTCCTTATGTCTTCCAGGTGTATTTTTCGTGCTTGCAAGTGACATTTCTTCTGCTCTATTTCTCCCTGTGCATTGATGGTCAGTTTAGTTAACTATTTCTCCATGACTGGAACCCCTATGTTGAATGTGCTATTTTGAATACCTTCTTGAATGCTCTTTTTCAGCTTTGTATTGGAGCGCATAACTGGGGTGGAAATTTCACCACCCTTTTGCTTTCTGATAGCTCCCCTTACCCTGAATCCTAAAAATAAAATGAATAATTAATGTTCTGTTATGAGAAGAAAAGGGAAATGATGAAATTATCCAAGATGGTTACATTCGTCTTCTCCAGCCTGCTTCTCAAAAGCTGAAAATTATTTTCAGATTTTGCAAAAAGGTACTTGTCTCAGGTTTCAAAATTACAATCATCTTTCCCCTGTTGAGGATACACACGAGCCTTTCATTACTTCTGAATGCTGAATCCTTATTTCTAATTCCTTCTCACCTTTACAGAACTGTAACGCTGGTTGGCTTAGTTACTATTTACTACTTTACTACTTACTAGTATTACCTGTGAGGCCTTCCTCTGAATTGATTTGCACAGCTGGTGGCTCACATCGGATAATATCGACCTCTTTTGACTTTAAAAAGGCCTTGACTAGTTGCCCTCCATTGGCAGGTGTTGAGTCACTCCCCTTTGTCTTTATGTTGTACTTTCTAGCTTTTTCTGACCAGTTTGGAGGTCCATTAGGCCATGACTCTACATCTGCCGGTAGCTGATCCAACTCTCCCTCTATATTGTAAACTGAAGCAGTGTGTGGTCGTTCTCTCACCTTCGGGGGAGTCTTCTGTGCCCTTTCTTTTGCCTCTTCAAAGGTTTCAAAGGACTGTGCCATCCTTTGAACTTGTCTTGAACTGAACAACTCGTGAAGACTTAGGTGAACAGCAGTGTCACTTTGTGACATTTTGGATTCCAGTTCTTTTTTGGTTTGACTTTGCTGATTTCTCTTCATTTTTTTTCTCTCGGCAGGTGAAGGCTTTTTTTGAAGACCAGCCTCAGGGACAAGCACTAACATCTCACTCAGTGATTTTTGAAAGTTTTCCTTGCATTTTTCAATGTATGTGGCATATATCGCCTCCCCAATGTTTTTTAGTTTCTTGTTTGTAACCTTAGGAGTAGTGGAGGAGGGATGTTTTACTCCGGTTTTTTGCGGTAGAATTTCATCAACTCGCGGGGGAATAAATTAACGCAGATTACGTCATGCATCTCATTAAGATAGGATGATGTCATACTTTAAAATTAATGCCGATGATGTCACGCATGCCATTAAGATAGGATGATGTCATAGTTTATTTTTAGCTGGCTGACTTCATGCATGTCATATAGATTGGATGATGTCATAGTTTATTTCCAGTAGTTAAGGAGCAAATGACGCCAGAATTTCTTAGAGTTGACGTCATCAAAAAATGTTGAGATTATAGTCTATAAACAGAAAAGTGATTTTTATATAATTAGCTATTTGCTACAGTCTTCTGATTAGATATTGTTTGCTATAGTTTCTTCTGATTGGATATTGTAGAAACTGTCATGTGTTTAAAATAAATGCGGGCAAATTTTGAACGAGTTATCTTTGTAGATTATACTAAATGAAAAATCTTTAATCATTAATTAATTATTTTCACGAAAAATCGGTTATAAACAAAACCAAGACACGGAGGTTAACTGAAAAATCTCTACTTCAAAAGAAGGGAAAAGGAGGTTAAGCGAATGCGAAATCGTACAAATTTTTCAGGCGAAACATGAAAACGAGGTCGAAGCTCAGCTCAGCGAAAAACTGCCTATCAAGCAAAAATGTCACTCTTTGTTTACTTGACTCTGTAGAAAGTATTGCACAGGGTATGAAATTCTATAGAAAACAACAGGTGGTTCTAAAGTAAACCCTAGCTCTTTTGGTTCTTAAATAAACTCCATTCTTGTTCCTGATGAGTGGAAAAATAGGAATAAGAGGTGCGATCGCCTAGCAACACATGTCTTCCTGTTTAGCACTGAAAATTGGATATATAAACAAAACACACACACATACACAGAGTGTAGGTGAAACTCTCTACTTCAATTTCGACTCACCATTACGAAAGCGTTTTCTCCGTTCCATCTCGAGGAAACGACTAACTATTGAAATCTCAGCGCTTGATCAGCTTATGGTCTTGTCAATTCAAGCGCCGTTAGTCAGTTAATTATGCGGGTTAACAAGCCCAATCTTGAATACAAATTAGTTCATCTCTACAGCTAGACCCAAGGGAGCACCTTGACTTATTATTGTAAAAACACAAACAATGAAACGGGAATCCTTTCTATTTTCTCATACTAAATTATCATATCTCGGTGAGCACTCGGAAGTCAGCCAAGCGTGGTCATTGCACGCGTGCTGAACAAGAATACTGTATAATGACAGACTAGAAACAATAGACAACTCCCAAAGCACAAACTCAACCAAAACGCTAAAAATCTTCAATGTTTACTCAAGTTTCGGCTTATAGAAGATAATGTCACAGTTTTTCGATGACCATGAAATTCATAGTCCTTGTAGTTAGTTAATCAATTGTGGCCCTAAAAAAATCTGGAGGGAAAAAAACTACGAATTTTTAAGAAAATGCTTTTTTTTCGTGAGAAGGACTCTTAAACGCTGACAAACGTCAACAAATAGCGAAAACTATAATTTCTATATGTTTGCTTTTCTCGAAATCGCGCACATTTACAAGGCCCTAAAACGTTTGCTGACTTGCAAGGACCCATCTGTTATAACGATGCCGAAAATAAAGGGATGAATCTCATTGTTTATTAGATATAATCGTGTAATGTTTGCTTATCATTTTCGCATAAATTATGACCTAAATTTGGAAACCGCTGAATTTCTCGAATAAGGTCTTTGCGATTTTGGTAAAACTCTGTTCAGCGCAAGGCACTAATGCGCACTATGTGTAGCCGAGAGATTTTCACCAAAAAATGCCGGCAACAGCACATTTTCGACTCAGACCTCAAAAGGGCGTGGCATTATAACCACGTGACATTTACTCCGATCGCCAAAAATTTTATGTTATATTGTAGATTGATCTATATGTTATCCATTCTATGTGTTAAACTTACGACAAAAGTAACGGTGGGGATACCAGAGAGCTTCAAAGTAGGATGGTACCCCCCAAAAAAACTGGGTCGAGTCGCCTTAAAGGAAAGGTTGATTGTAATTGTGAGTTAAATAAAAAACATGCCTGGCAGCTTGTCAACGAGAGTTCTTTCTTTCCTTCTTTAGTAATTGTTTTGCCCTCATTCCATTTACTCGAAGAAAATGTCGTGATATATGCCTCTTTGTCTTTTTTACTTCTCCAGTTATAGAATTGTTCATCAATGCTTTTGCAATGCCGGATGAAGTCCTCCCGTTTGATTCGTAGCTGAGGGTATTCTCGAAAATGTTCAGTGAAGATTTTGTACCTATCTTGAACCAATCTAGCAGCAAACTTTGCTTTTCCTGCACCAGGAGTCTTTTCAATCTTGCTTAAATATTTGGTTTCTCTAAGGAACACTCTCGCCCAAGCACAGTCAATTTTTAAAGACATATTTCTTGTCTTGCTAGAGGGTATGGCTTACTTAGACACTGTAAAACGTTTGTTGTTATCGTGAAGAAGTGGCTATCTGATATCTAAAAGCTTGAATGAAATGTTCTTTTCGTCGCTGCTATCGGCTTTATTTTCATTAGCTAACTGGTCAAATAGATCGTATATTTCGCGCCAAAATACATTGGGCTCACGTCACAGCTGAGACGCATTGCTTTTGCAGTACTTCTTTATTCATATAACTAAGCAGTATAAAGTTTGAATAGTGGACCATCACTTTCCTACATAGTTGTTTCAAAACAAAAATAAGGCAAAATAATATAAATACTCCCTTGACACGACTATCATAGTCTAAAAGAACAGTGCAAGTGGCCATGAGGTGCCACGCGGCAGAAAAACTGCCCCATTTAATACTGACCAAAGAGCTCGATGATACCTATTCTCCGACCGCCATCTTTGTTTTCTTTATTTTCTTTCACAGGGTCCCCCAGAAGGAGTATTAAAAGCAATAAATTCGTCTCCAGGGGAGAGGTCTACCTGCGCTTTTTTTTAGTTTCAGTCCCACTCCAGCAACGGGCGTTTAACAAAATGGCGCCCGAATTGGAAACTTCCCAAGCCGTAACGACCCGTAACCTAATTTGCACTACGGGGCAAGTAAAATCGATTCAAACGTAAACTGTTTTGTAACATTTTAATTCTACTGAACTTATAATAGCCCTGCATTCTCGACTCTAGAATTCGTAGATTCAGAAAATCTACGGCAAAGAACCCACGAACTGCTGTTGTGACGATTCTTCAACTTTTACCTTTAATCAGACCCAAGTATTGGCGTTGTGGACACCCTTGCAGGGCTAACTCGTATTAAGTGGTTATTTTCCAATAGTATTTTGCAGATATTGAGTCAATCAATGTAGTTTTGATTTGCCCCATTTTGGTTCGACATAGGTTAATTATATTGGCAGCCGTTATGGACAATTTTTTTATCAAGAGTGGTTGCTATGGCAACGATGTTATACAGGACGGTTCATATTTCTTAGAATAATAACTTCATCGAATTTTATTAAATTTGCTCAAATATTAAGGCTTCAAATGGCCAAAATATCAAAGCTGCCTCGTTTTCATGTTATACCCATGCTCACGCCTGAGTTTTTCTTGGAAGTCTGTTTTTGGACAATTTACGACATGAAGCTCAAGTTTTCATTCATACTTGGCTACTTCGTGTGAATACCATAACGTGGAATTCAAAGAAAAATCAGTAATGTGTCATGCTTCTTAAATTATAGCAGTTGTCGGTGTATTTTTATTTTATTTTTCACATTCTTGAAAATCCTTTTCTGGATCAATTTTCGTTATGTAGCTAAGCTATTTGATTTGAAAATTGAAAAATCAAGTTATTCTGTCTATTTAGACGTGCAAATGTCGTTTTGGAATCGCTGAAATCAAGAATAGGCCGGAGTAGCCCATCGGCCGGTCGTGTTTACTTCAACATTTCTAGGAAAGAACCCGCTCACACGCCAGACACGCCGCGCGTTCAACCGCTCTCGTGCAAACTTGAATGGATCAATCAGAAACACTTTTATTGTTTTTTGCTGAAACCAATCAGAGACAACCTTGCTCCAGGGTTCCCCAGAGCTCTTGATCTCTCTCTACCTGAGCAAAAGAGCTCTGGGTCGAGATTGGCACGCGACCAGTGACAGCGAGCGTGGTGCATAGTCATAGGAACCAAATTCTTCACTTTAAAAGCTTGCTTGAGATTAAAATGGTAGCAGGAACTTACGAAAGACCTTCGTTGTACAAAAAAGTAAAGATCCGGTGATTTAAAGTGGAGACTGAGGCGCTGAATGAGATGAAAGAGCAAGTTTCTCAAGGGTTTCTGACACAAACATGGCTGCTTGTAGTTGTTTGGCGCTCGACTCGAGTCTTGATTCCCTTTCAAGAACCGCAAAGTTTGGCATAGAATGCATTGCTGATGGGTAGATATTGAGCAAAATGTTCTTTATTTAGTGTTTGTCTATAAATCGGATGTAAATTAGTTTCCAGATGCCGTAAAAGATTTCTGTCAATAATTTGTGGATAGCTGATCTAGCCATATTTCGGGAGTGGACTAATAAACATCAGCGGGCGACTACTACGCCGTTATCAGTTGGAATAGAAAGGTGTTCCCTTATTAAAGTATCTTAGCGATACAAAGTTGGTTTAGCGGAAAATTGTAGAAGTTCTTGTTTTTGCATGGACTAACACTGTAACGCATCTTGTACAGGAATTTGCTTTTAGCTAGAACTTGAGGGCTCCACTAATTTTTAACTTTTGTTCGGCATCACAAGTTTACTGTACGTCTTGGGAAACCTAACCGTTTGTTTCATCAAAATCAGTCACAAGATTCGACTATAATTTAGGTCCTATTGAATGCAGTTTTGACTGTGCCTCATTGATATTCATTTATGTTATTGTTCGAGACATACGGAGTGACTACCATCCACATCTCACCAGGTGACTAATCTACGTTTCGTGTGCTCTTAATTTTGTAGATTTAAAGTGCTGAGAAAATTGTAGAACATACATTTATTCACTGCTGAACTGAACACCGGTTTTTGCGTACTTAGAACCTACTCACTGAAATTTGCAATTATATTTTTTTTAATGTTGTGTTGATTTCCATTTCAAAACAAAGAAAATTGAAAGTGTTTACTTACATCAGCAAACGTTTCGGCACTTTGTTTAGACTTTGATGAGGTCAGCGCAATCCTACAAGCACTACATTTACTCAAGCTGTTGTCCAGGTCAATTGGGTAGATGAAATTTGATAGTAGCTCCTGGTATGTTAAAGCCGGTCTACTTCGCTTTTGTTGACACCATGTTAGATTTTTTTTTCAAACTACTCATTTTGTTAAATCACGAGCACATTCGCCAAGACTAAGGAGCAAAATAATCTCCATAATAGCTTTGAGACGCGCCATTTTAATGAAAGCAGACCCTGTGGTGAGCCTCCATGCAAATCGCTTGTTCAGCGGTCGCGCATGCTCATGCAAAATCAGACCCCCTGTTAACGTCTGCATGCGTTCTAGTTCAATTTGTGTTTTTGAGGACAGGGGAAAACCGGAATACCCGAAAAAAAAAAAAGAAACCTCTCGGAGCAAAGGAGAGAACCAACAACACACAACCCACATATGGCATCCACGCCGGGATATGAACCCGGAGTACACCCTTGCGCCACCCTTGCTCCTCAGGGTATCTTTCGGTACGTATCGCTGTTTTATGAGGGCACCACAGAAATAACAGATGTAATTAGGAATACTAGCTGCATCATTCTTCCAAGCACTTTTGTCCACAACTGTATAAGTTACACTAAGTATGCTCTAATACCTGTACCAGGGCCTCCACATCACAACGTTCAGCAGTTTCTTTCAAAATTACTTTCAAGCAGCTTTCGCTGCTTTGACCAAGTGGGTGCGATCTATGCCCTCCAGGTTTGATCGAAAACTGAACTTCCGCAGCTCCCTGAAGGAAAGCAAAACTCTCGGTTTGGACTAGTGAAGTAGTAAAGTAGTATAGGGAAAAGGGCGGGGGTGGGGAGTTAAGAAGGAGCATTTGAAAATGTGGCTGATGAAAAACACATGGCCCATCCCGTCCTTTTGGTACAAAACTGACTGACCCACCCCTAAATGAAGGTTGGAAATTACTCTACCTACGCGCCCACCCACCCCCTAGAAAACGTGAATTTGGTTTTAAAAACTCAAATGTCGCAGTACTACTACTACTACTACTTCTACTGCAGTAGTAGTGGTGGTAGTGGTAGTATGGTAGTGGTAGTGGTAGTGGTGGTGGTAGTGGTAGTGGAAGTGGTAGTTGTAGGCTTAGTGGCAGTGCTAGTGCTAGTGGTAGTAGTAGTAGTAGTTGTTGTTGTTGTAGTAGTAGTAGTAGCACTACTACTAGTAGTAGTAGTAGTAGTAGTAGTAGTAGTAGTAAAGTAAGTAAAGTAATAAATTGCTTTATTTGCATGACCGCATCATTTTACAGTATTGCAAAAGCATGCATATGACAATCAAAATAATTAGAACAAACGGCACTAATAATAATCTAGAAAAATTCAGTTACATTATTAACAATGAATCACGTATTTTCATAAAGGAGGAAACAAACTTCATAACTAACTTATTTACATGATGTTCCGTCGAATTCATTATCAGTTTTATGCTTTCTGGAGATGATTTCTTGTCAAAGTCAGGTATTATTCGATTGATTTGATTAATAAGGGCCTGTCTCTGTACTGAGTATTTGTTACATTGAAAGAGGAAATGAATCTCATCTTCTATCTGATTTGAGTTACATAAGGGACATAATCTATTTTCTCTTGGCAAATGATCGATTTGGTATCGACCATGTTCAATCATAAGTTTGTGATTACTTATTTTAAATTTAACAAAATTCTGTCGTTCGTCATAATGTCTTAGCTGGTAGAGATAATCAGATGTAGAATATTCGTCTTTAAAAGTTTTATAAAATTCTAGTTTTTTTGAATTTTCAAGGCTGTGCCGCCAAAAAGATAGACATTTCTCTCTCATTTCTGTGGTATATCGTCTAATTTGATCATTATCTAGAGATTCAGCATCTAAACTGGTTAGATTGTATTGTTCAAACCTGTTTATGAAATTGGAAAAATATCCTGAATTATTCATAGAATGTAGATTCTTTGACATAAGGAAAGACTGTTTGACTATAGAGTCATTATCTTTGTTGTTGAGGTAAACAAAATATTTCATAATTTTCTGATTTATAGGGATAAGCAGCGGCAATCTATCAAGTTCAGCTCTGCAAGCTATGTTAGAGGCCTTATTGTTAACCTCTAAGTAACGTTTACAGAATTTGAGGTGGATTTTTTCTATTGGGGAGCTATCCCATTTTTTAAAATCTTGCTTGGTGTACATTCCCCATACCTAGTAGTAGTAGTAGTAGTAGTAGTAGCAGCAGTAGCAGCAGTAGCAGCAGTAGCAGCAGTAGCAGCA